CTTGTCGCGGGCTCCCGTCGGCGCTCTAAGCGTGGCCCCTCATTGCATCGCCTGTCCTCACAAAGTCCCGGAACTTATATCCATCTCCCCTCCCTCCCTTCCCATCTTTCCACCATATCTCCCCACGAGCCAATGGGCTGACCATTTTTCCGCCTTACAAATCCATCTCGCCTATTATCCTCCTACGCCTCCCTTCCTTCCGATCTCCCCTCTCCTTCCAATCGGCCGGCCAGTCTCCGCAACGGCAGTCCCCCCATGGCAATCCTTATTCATGTCGCCTGTCAACATTCATGCGCCCATTTCCTCCCCTGGTTGCCCCCACCCCCTTCCTGCTAGCCCTCATTTTTGCCCTGGCTTGTCCTCATTCTCTCCTGCTTCCCGTCGTATTCCCTTGTTTCTCCTCCAGGACCAGTTGGTCACCACCACTACTCCTGCGGGTGAGCTTGTGGCGATCTGTACAGACTCACGGAATGGCGCCCACCTTGCCACGTTCACTTGGAGACCAGGTTCTGGCCTGTAAACACTGACCACTGAGTCCGCACAGGTAGCTGCGTCCGGCCAAGTAGCTGCGTCCTGCTCGTGTCGGTTACTCACGCACCCGTCTCTCCTCTGGCACCACCGTCTGGGTCACCCCTCCCTGCTACGTCTGCGTAGCATGCTCTCCCGTCTCCTTGTCTCTGGCCTCCCCAGGTCCCTGCCCCTGCTCCCGCGGTCTCTTGCACCTCCGTGCCTTCCCTGCCTCGAGGGGCGGTAGCGCGCCGCACCTCACTCCTCCTCGTTTCCTCCGACCACTGCTCCTCTGCAGACTCTCCACATGGACGTGTGGGGCCCCGCCCACGTCAGTGGACAGGGCCGAGAGCGCTACTTTCTGCTGGTTGTTGACGACTACACGCGCTACGCCACGGCGATCCCCTTGCAGAGCAAGGCGGAAGTCCGCAGTGTCTTGATCTCTTGGATCCGCACTGTCCGCCGCCAGCTGAGCGCACGGTTTCAGCAGGACCTCCAGGTCATGCGGTTGCACTCTGACAGAGGACTTTTGTCGTGAGGAGGGCATCACCCAGTCGTTCACGCTTCTGGTCTCTCCACAGCAGAATGGTATTGCTCGCACCTCCATGATCCATGCGGCTGCTCCCCATTTTCTGTAGCCGTTTGCGGTCCGATACGCCGCGCATCAGCTCAACCTCTGGCCCCGTGTGTCCGTGCCAGAGACCTCGCCTACAGTGCGCTGGACGGGGAAGGTTGGCGATGCGTCGACGTTTCGGGTCTGGGGCTCGCTTGCCCTTGTCCACGATACTACCGTGGGCAAGCTCTCTCCTCGCACTCTCCGCTGCGTCTTCATTGGCTTTCCCACCGACGGCCCGCCCTGGCAGTTTTGCCACCCAGCCACACGTCGCGTCCTGTCCTCCTAGGACGTCACCTTTGACGAGTCGGTCTGCTTCTACCGTCTCCACCCCCACAGCACTTCCCCCGTCCCTTCCCCACTTCTCTTCCTGGTTCCAGGTCCCCCCCCCGGTAGACCCCCTCCCCCCATAGGGTCCTGCTCCCTTAGGTGTGTCTCAGGTTGACCCACCCCTTGGTTGAGCCTTTGGAGGTCTCCTCTAAGACCTCTTGACTAGCTGAGGGGGGTGACCCTGCTGCTGACGACACAGCGGCCACTCGCCGCTCACCAAGCTTGGAGACCCCTCCTGGTTTTCCGCCTCGGCCGTCTTCGCCGCCTCTGCAGCCTGTTGCTGTAGACTCCAGGGCTGCTGGGGGTGGTGACACTGGAGGTGCGGACTCTGGGGGTGCTGGTCCTGGGGGTGCTGACTCTGGAGGTGCTGGTTTTGGGGGTGCTGAGTCTGGGGGTGCTGGTTTTTGGGGTGGAGTTGTGGGCACTCCTGCTGGAGGTTCTGGCCGTGGACAGCAGCAGCAGTCTCGTCGACAAGAGACTCTCTCGCCTTAGTAGCTTAGCGAGTGGGTTATTCGGCGAGGCCGCTCTGGTGGCGGAGCTGGAGCTGCTGGTGCTGGAGGTGCTGGACATGCTGGTGCTGGAGGTGCTGGAGCTGGAGGTGCTGGAGCTGGAGGTGCTGGAGGTACTGGAGGCGCTGATGCTGGAGGCGTTGGAGCTGGAGATGCTAGAGATGGAGGTGCTGGAGGTACTGGAGCTGTAGGTACTGGAGGCGCTGGTGCTGGATGCGCTGGAGTTGGAGGTACTAGTGCTGGAGGTGCTGGTACTGGAGGTGCTGGAGCTAGAGGAGCTGTAGGTACAGGAGGTGCTGGTGCTGGAGGTGCTGTCGCTGGAGGTGCTGGTGCTGGAGGTGCTGGCGCTGGAGGCTTTGGTACTGTGGGTACTGCGCAGCGGCGAACCGTGTTTCTTGCCGCAGCCGCAGTCGTCACTGCCACCACCTAGCTCGGCGCTTCGCCAGGTTCTTAGTCTTCCGTCTTCCACTGGCCTTACTCCACCTTTACTGTGTCCTCCGCCTGACCAGTTACAGCTGCAGTTACAGCCTCACTCCCCACTGCCTTCTCCTTCTCCTTACCCCAAGCAGACAGACTCCCTGACAAAGCGTCGTGAGCCTGCGTCTCGTCCTGCCTCGCCTGTTCGCACTGTTAGTCGTGCTCGTCGTGTTCGTTCTCCGCCAGTCCCCGTCACACACACTATGGCACTTCGTCCTTCCTCTGTTCCACAGCGTGTTGCCCTGCCGTCTCCGCCGGCGTCCTCTCTTCCTGACGTTCCCGACCTTGAGTCTGACCTTGCTCGTGCTGCTAGTCCTACTGTCACGCATGTCCTGGCAACACTTGTCACTGAACCTTCCTTTGAGTCTACTGCTGCGTCTGCCTTAGTCACTGAGCTCGTTGACTTTGCTGCTACCTGTCGTCTTGACTACTTCGCGAGTCTTGTTACTGAGTCTGAGTGTGACTGTCCTCCGTCCGTTGGGGGTGAGCTTGCCCTTGGCAGTGATGTCCTTGAGAACAGGCAGTTTGAGCTCGAGTGCCTCGCGGCTGATGTACCTCATCTCGCTTCCATGCTGCTTTGCCCTGAGGGAGACCCGGATGCTCTAGATATGCTGACCTCACGCTCTTACGTAGAGGCGATCTCGGGTGAGTACTCCTCTCAGTGGCTGACAGCCATGGATGCAGAGACGGCTTCATGGAAGTCCACAGGCACCTACGTCGACGCAGTTCCCCCTCCTGGGGCGAACATAGTCGATGGCATGTGGATTTTTAGCGTGAAGCGGCCGCCGGGTTCTCCGCCTTCCTTCAAGGCGCGTTACGTTGCACGAGGCTTCAGTCAGCGACAGGGGGTCGACTTCTTCCAGACCTTCTCTCCCACCCTGAAGATGACCACTCTTCGGGTGTTACTGCACGTTGCAGCACAGCGTGACTACGAGCTCCACTCGCTTGATTTCAGAAAAGCTTTCTTGCAGGGCAGCCTTCACGAGGAGAACTGGCTGCGCCGCCCACCTGGTTTCAATGGGTCGTTTCCTGAGGGTACCTAGTGGAGCCTTCGGCGGCCAGTCTACGGTCTCCGTCAGGCGCCCCGCGAGTGGCACGACACACTAAGGACTACTCTTGCGGCTCTTGGGTTTGCTCCTTCGACTTCTGACCCGTCACTGTTTCTCCGCACCGACCCTTCTCTGCCGCCGTTCCACATCCTCATGTACGTCGACGACTTGGTCTTTGCTACTGCTGACACTAAGGCACTGGCCCTTGTGAAGGCGGAGCTGCAGAAGAGACACACCTGCACTGACCTGGGTGAGCTGCGGAGCAATCTTGGCTTGCAGATCATCCGGGACAGAGCACGACGCACCATCACTCTGACTCAGTCCCACATGGTGCAGCAGGTCCTTCAGCGCTTCGGCTTTCAGTTATCCTCGCCACAGTCCACTCCTCTGCCTATGGGCCACTCGCTCTCAGCTCCACCTTCGGACGAGTCCGTAGAGCCAAGTGGTCAGTATCAAGAGCTTGTGGGCTGCCTCATGTACCTGATGACTTGCACTCGACCTGACCTCGCGTACCCTCTCAGCATCCTGGCGTGCTACGTTGCGCACGGGAGACACCGACCAGAGCAATGGCGGGCTGCTAGGAGGGTGCTGCGTTACTTGTGCAGTAGCATGTGCCTTGTGCTTGGAGGACGGGGTCCAGTTGTACTCACGGGTCACTCCGATGCTTCTTGAGCCGACGACCTGGCGACTCAGCGGTCGTCACAGGGTTACACTTTCAGTCTCGGCACTGAATTTGTCTCCTGGAGGTCCACCCGCTCGTCTTCTGTACTTAGTACCAGCTGTGAGGCCGAGATCTACGCTGGGACTATGGCTGCTCAAGAGTTACGCTGGCTGACCTACCTGCTGACAAACTTGGGTGAGCGGCCTCGTTCTGCTCCGGTTCTGTACGTCGACAAGAAGGCCACGATTACCTTGTGTCGGTAGCAGAGACTGGAGTACAGAACGAAGCACATTGCTCTTTGTTACTTCCTTGCTCGAGAGTTACAGCACCATGGTCAGCTCCGCCTTACGCACGTGGCCTCACGGGCCAACACTGCTGATATTTTCACCAAGGGACTTGTGTCTGGTGATCATCAGCGTTTTTGCGCTGCTTTAGGCCTTGTGCCTACTTTGCCTCAATTGCTTACTACTTGACTTTGCCTTGTACTGTGATCTATATATATACCTGCATGCCTACTCTTGCTATGCTGTGTTCACTGTACTGCTTGTGCTTTTATACCTCTGCATGTGAACTGGCCTTGTGGCCACTTGCCTGTGCTCAGATTGCGTGGTGATCTTGAGATCCACCCTGAGCTTTGCTTTGCTTTGCTTCTTTGCTTGACTGGTCTTATGACCGTTGGTTGTTCTTGCTATCCCCCACTTTGTTTATGAGGGTGTGTCAAAATGCATTATATGCTTGTAGGCTGTAGTCGGGTACAACCCATATAGGGTACAACCCATTAGGGTTGCATACTTGTATCTCACTGCTGCTAGTCACACATCATTCCGCTGTTCTGATTCTGACAGGGAGCTGGCCTAGGGGGGGTAGGACAGGGAGGCGGGAGGGGAGATGGCCTTGGGGGCGTGGGACTGGGAGGCGGGAGGGGAGCTGGCCCTGGGGGCATGGGACAGGGAGCGGGTTTGGGATCAGGGCTGGGTGGCGTAGGACTTGGAGCCCTGTAGGGACCTAGTTTAGGCGGCGTGGGACTAAGTGCAGGTGGTGGGTCTGGGCTTGGGGGTGTGTACCTTGGAGGCGGGAGGGGAGCTGGCCTTGGGGGCGTGCACCTGGGAGTTGGGAGGGGAGATGGCCTTGGGGGCGTGCACCTGGGAGGCGGGAGGGGGGCTGGCCTTGGGGGCGTGCATCTGGGAGGCGGGAGGGGAGCTGGACTTGGGGGTGTGCACCTGGGAGGCGGGAGGGGAGCTGGCCTTGGGGACGTGCACCTTGGAGCCGGGGATGACCTTGGCCTTGGGGGTGTAGGACTGGGACACAGGCGCGGTGCACGTTATGCGGGCATTGGCATAAGTTCAATTGTCCAAACAAGGGACGATGAAATGCGGATGGGTTTTGGAAGAGGGCGGAGATGAATGCGGAGCATGAGAGGGTGAGGGGGAGTGCATGGAGATGAAGGAACGGGGTTAGGGTTTGGGGGGAATGCACTCGACGAGGCGCCAACAAGGGTGCCTTTCGACCTGGACGCTCTGATACAGCAAGCTCGAGAAGGGTACACGCCCGCGTCCATCAACATTGGGGTCAACGACGATGCTAACGAGGCCCATCCCACGACTGGCGTGCGACAGTTCTGGATCAAAACGACCTGCATTCGGGTTTGGCTCAGATTCTAGCGCTTCCGTGGCCGTGGGTTTAGGGTTCATGGAGATGCGCTTCATGAAGAGTAGGATGAACCAGGGTTTGAAGATGAGGACGGTGGGGGCGGGGAGGGAGCTCTTGGTGCTGGCGTCGACGATGGTGAGGAAGGGGGATTTATGTGCAGACGGGGTTCCATCGCAACAGGAAGGGCTCCAAGTACCGCATTGGTCGAATCCAGCCCCTCGATTGGGCACGGCTCTTTGCAGTCATTCGACGCTTCAGGATATACACCAGCAATGCCGTAGAGACCCTCAACGGTGCAGTGCGACGCATAAGGATGCTGCCTCCAACCTACCTGATGGCGTCCTTATGTGACTGGCTCGGGGAAAGGTGGGTCGAGCGCTATGAACATGCTATGTAACGGGATGAGCATCTCTCGCAGGCGGCCTAACGGATGCAAATCAAGATCAACAGATGTCAGGGCTACTGGTTTCTCTGGTGAACACAGGATTTTGGAACGATCCAGACGCGTGGAGGGGAGAACGAGGCTGAGTGACGGAGCTATAATGTCAACCTTCTTGCCCGGGCCTGTGAGTGTGGGAACTGGCAGGAATACATGTTCCCGTGTGCGCACGCCGTCGCCATGCGCACACCCGCATACGCTACGCATGACGTACTCATCAATTGTGTGGGGGACGTGCATTGACAGACTGCTTGCAGAGGCCCCCAAAGCTCCGGTGGGCGTGTGTGATGCACCCGCGCTCGTTGAGACCCGCGTCGGCCGCCCGGAGGATCACACGCGTGGGGAGACTGCACCCAATGCGTACCGTTTCGGGAGATGCCGCGAGCTGGGGCATAACCGGCAGAAATGTAAGTGGAAGAACGGTGGATACCCTCAGGGGGCAGGGCAGATGGATAGGCAAGGATATGGGCTGGAAGATGAGCAGGGGGAAGGGGCCCGTGTTGGTTTTACTGATGGGTAATTTATGCTTCCGTGATTGCAACTTGTCTTCAAACTTGAACTATTTAACTAGGAACAATTGAGTATGTTAATCATCATGGAACACGCGATCATAGCCAGTTATGAAGTGATAGTTACTCACCATCCTGAACAACCCTTTTAGAAAATTTGCGTCGTGAATCTTCATGAACGTCCTATGAACAGTCACAATCCAAGCATCAACAACATGTTTTGCGTCATATGCACCCACAAGGGCGAGCGTAAGCTTTCGTGAAATGGTGCTCGAGGAAGGATCTCTCGCGGAGGTTTTGTGGTAGTTCATGAGTCGCTCTCGAAATCACACGATGATGCGCGGGGGTATTAGGTATAGTAACTTAGCGAACAACACAACTCAATGCAAATGACATATATATTTTAGTAACAATCTAGCGTTGCATTTGCAAGCCGGGTGTATTCCATAACCTTAAACAAGTATTGTCCAAAGCCAATCCGTATAGTAAGTCCCCTATTCATGTTGTACATAATTTCGTGCTATAAGCACCATGAACTTGAATTTACAATAATCAAGAATTGGACTAAAAGGGGTTAATGAGAGACACCCGCCATGAACTTCATGCAAAAATCAACAAACTAGCAGGTTCCATCATGTACACACAGTCTGGAAAGTTGGCAACACTTGCTCCAATTAAGACCCTAGGTATGGGTACACAACAGGTAACAGATGGGATCAACGTGTTTTTTACTGGTTATTAGTGGATACCCCAAAATTAAAAAAAAATACCTTCAAAATTGTGGGAAAAACTACCCCTCTGTGATCGGACCCAAGCTTCTACCCAAGGCTTGGTGTGGGAAAAACTACCCAAGGCTTGGTGTTCCAATTAAGACCCTAAGTGTGGGTACACAAAAGGTCACAGATGAGATCAACATGTTTTACTGGTTAATAGTGGATACCCCCAAATTTAAAAATACCTTTAAAGGTAGTTTTGCCGACCATGTATTTACTTGAAATGTACCTTCATGTACTCACATAAATGTTATATGCAACCTCTGTACCAACCATGAGCCCGGGTTATCTTGTCCAGTTATAGTTGTCGGAGAACCTCCCTCTCCCCCGCACCTGCTCTTCTTCCTGCACCTGCTCTTCTCCCTGCACCTGCTCTGCATCCTGCACCTGGTCTTCTCCTGCTGTCTTTCTTGTTCCTCCCTTCTCCGTGTTGCATAGCCTCACTCACCCACATATCAACGGGATTGCTCCCTCACCCCCAAGGTTCCCTCCTGGTGTGTGCCACCGTGTGCTAGAAGCTAGGATGACCACTCTCACTACTAAGAGAGAATAACAACGAGAAAGCATCGAGGGGTTGGACGTGGGAGACCTTACCCAACCCCAGGCTGCACAATTCCAAATGTGCGGCTTGGGGTTGGGATTGCTTGGTTTCACATTTCGCCCTTCGGTGCCTTTTCTCTCATAATCCCAACCTCTCCCATCCCGTTCCCCCCCTTCTACACCCCTTCCTAACAGTTACTTCGCTACATTCTACACCTACTGCTTATTCCTGTTTTATACTATTATAACTATCTAGTGTTCCTATGGTTGTAACATATAGCCCTCCCACTACCATCATCCTAGTGTTATTGCATATGCATTAGTTGCATATGCGGTGACATAGTTTTGGAATATTCCCATACCCTACACTTGGGTAATTTTGTCAATTAGTCAAGCCCTAATCAAAACTGCGTCCAGATATTATTCAAATCACTGTTTGGGTTTTATAAACTTGTGCGCAGGACGATGTTGATTAGGGTCGAGACGATGAACCCTAAACCATTAATGGTTTAATTCCAATGTATAATTTTAATATGCAATGGTCTTTGCGACGACACTGATTCTTATCGCGGCGTACCATGCTGACTCACTTCCGGTCCGTGACGCTTCACGAGTTCGCGTGGTGCGTGGATGAAACAAAACGTCAAGCTTTCGTATTGTATCATGAATTTGTTTATATTTCCTTGTCTATCCTCTGCGACGACACTGATTCTTATCGCGGCGTACCATGCTGACTCACTTCCGGTCCGTGACGCTTCACGAGTTCGCGTGGTGCGTGGATGAAACAAAACGTCAAGCTTTCGTATTGTATCATGAATTTGTTTATATTTCCTTGTCTATCCTCGAGCTATCGTATGTGTTCGTAAGTTACCATGATTCGTCATAGTGGCTTACAGCGTCACTAATAGGAAAAATATGTTCGCGAGGCACAACAAGTAAACCATTGGACAAGGTAGTGGGAACTGTTATCCCCGTTGTGTAGCCTGGCACACCAAAAAGTGGTCATGGCAGTTAAAGAGGTCCATAAACCAAGCAACCTAAACCGTCTCACCCAGAAACAAACCACATCACTAGAAACGTCGGCCATAGTTGGAGCCGCATCAGTGTCATCGTCCCCGTTCACAGGAAGGCCACCCAGCTCCTCAGTCTCCCTCTCCCAACGCTCCCACCTCCTCTATGCCTTTTTCTTTGCCGGAAACTGAACGTGACGTGTATTGCACCCTTTCAGTAGCGCCAGGTCGGGATCCTGCAGCTGTAACACCCGGCCACGGATAGGTTAAGGCCGGCGGACGACATGCGCAGCCGCTGCAAAGGACTTCGAAGCGACCAGCTGATCCTCGTTCGATCCGAGCATAATGGTACTCGGATTCTTCGGGTCCTTGACCAGCTTTACCTGCCACATCCCATCCCTTTGCTGGTGGACACCGGTGAACCCTGTCTTGACCACTTCCTTTCCGCCCGCTCCATCGGGGCCGGCCTTGCCTCCCTCAGCTGCACCTGCTCCGCACGGGCCGGCGCTATCTCCCTGTTGTCCGCGCGGATGCTGCGACGGACCTGCAAGGGCTTGGGAGTTCATCTCTGAAAGAGGTTGTTGCGGCTTAAAACCAGCATGGCGTGATTGCACCACAGCCGGACTACGACCGAGCGGAGACTGGTTGACTCAGCAATCCCCCTAGGAGCTGCCGGACCATCGCCAATGCATGGAGCAGGGCGTTGTCATATCCACGCGCCACTTGCATATCCCACGCACTGCCACGGAGGCCGGATGTTGCGGCGTCAATGTTAGGTGCGGCCTTTGTGATTGTATCTGCCACCCGTACCAGCTCCTTCATACGCTCGATTTCTTCCCACATCGCCTTCATCTCCTTCTGAATGGCATCAACCTTACTCTCCACCCGAAACTTCTCGTCCTCAGCACACCTGGGACGGCTCTTGGTGTTCCCAATCTCTGCCGTGGCCTCCCACAGCTTTGCATCAAGCACGTGGTATTCACGGGGCAGCGACGTGTTCAACCTGCTTTTTAGCGGCGGGTCTTGATCAGGGATGACGCACTTCTCCCGACTCAGCAGAATGATCAGGGTTTCCACGGCGAGTTGGACGAGATCGGCGCAGATCTTGCGGAGGTACTGTTCAGGCCCGTATGTCAGGGCGGGGAGACTTTTCTCAAGCTGCGCGAAGTCGGTGGCAAGAAGCTCGTCAATGTAGATGCAGACGAAAACGCCGCAGTAATATCCGTTGGTCTGGAGTGGGCAGCGGAAACTCTGAATGAAGAGAATGAAACAGATTAACGATTTGACGAATATTATCCCTCAATAAAGCCACGACCCTAGAAGAACAAGAACTCATACCGGCGCCAACACCGTCCGCAGACGCTCCAGACTATGTTCAACTTCAGTCTTGTTCAGTGATGGTTGCGCCGCCATCAACGCCAGGCCCATGAGGCTGGGCAACACCAACGGTTACATACATTAGTGGTAAAACCGACAAACATAAATTCACGACTAGTAGTTAAAAACCAATGTGACGCATATCTTGATCTCAATGAATATGTGGTCCACCTGCCGCCGATGATCACCCGAAGAATCATACATGATGGTGACGGGCATGGAGTTGTCGCCCTCCTGGGGCACGTCTGCCTTGAACACACCTGGTTCCTTCAGGACGACAAGACTGAAGTGCTTTGGAATGCTGCATAGAGGTGGAAAAGTGCACCGTTCGAATTCGAATA